TGGAGACTACACCCCGAGGTGGTGGAGCTCCTCTGGAGGAAATTTGGCCAGGAGGAAGTGGATCTATTTGCGTCGCAGGAAACGACACACTGTGCGCTCTGGTTCTCCCTCACGCATCCAGGCTGGATGCCATGGTGTACGCTTTTCCCCCGATTGTTCTGCTCCCGGGAGTTCTGGAGAGAATACGCCGGGATGGGGTCCGTCTGTTGCTAGTAGCCCTGTTCTGGCCGGCCCGAGTATGGTTATTCGCCAAAGAAAGGATCTCCGGCGACCAAGCAGACTATGTGTAGGTGGGTGGTCGAGGCCATCTCACTAGCCTACGAGTCCTCTGGCCTCCCGTATCCTATGGGGGTCAGAGCGCACTCGACCAGGAGTATGGCTGCCTCCAAAGCTTTCAACTTGGGTGTGGCCTTGCAGGACATTTGTGCTGCGGCGGGCTGGTCCTCTCTGCACACTTTTGTCCGCTTTTATAACCTAGACCTGGTATCTAACCCAGGTTCCCAAGTTCTCTCTTCGTGATGTGCTCATGAGATACACACAGGCAGGGAGTTGGTAGTATGGCGCAGTGGGTATTCTCGTTCCCAAAGCGATTCTCGACGCAGCGTCTTGTTCCCTCGGGGAACCATGGTTACATACGTAACCTAGAGACTTTTTTTTATTATTTTATGAAAAAACATTTACCTCAGTATCTCTAGCTTACAGTTTGGACTTTTCAGTCCATCAGAGAGCAGCTTCACTCCTGAATCCTGCAGGTCATTGTTACTCAGATCCAGCTCTCTCAGGACAGAGTTTGGGGATTGTAAAACTGATGACAAACTATCACAGGACTGAGCAGTGAGATTACATAAGGAAAATCTAAACAAGAAAAACAGAGCCATTGCATACATAAAAAATCTTTACAATATGATTTTTAGTGAATAAGTTAATGCAAAATAAATTAATAAACAAAAATAAATAATAAAAGTGTTTGAAAACAAACCCCAGTATCTCCAGCTGACAGTTTGGACTTTTCAGTCCATCAGAGAGCAGCTTCACTCCTGAATCCTGCAGGTCATTGTTACTCAGATCCAGCTCTCTCAGGACAGAGTTTGGGGATTGTAAAACTGATGACAAACTCTCACAGGACTGAGCAGTGAGATTACATAAGGAAAATCTAAACAAGAAAAACAGCCATTGCATACAGAAAAAAACCTTAACAATACGATTTTTAGTGAATAAGTTGATGCAAAATAAATAAATAAATAAACAAAAACAAACCTCAGTATCTTCAGTTTACAGTTTGGACTCTTCAATCCAAGAGAAAGCAACTTCACTCCTGAATCATGAAGGTCATCGTTAATAAAGTCCAGCTCTCTCAGGACAGAGTTTGAAGATTGTAGAGCTGATGACAGACTATCACAAGACTGAGCAGTGAGATTACACCTATGTAGCCTGTGTAGAGAGAAAAAAGACAAATAGTGACACTGATGTTCTTATCAGGTAGGGTTTATAATCTGAAGCACAGAGGCAGGAGGTTTTCTAGTGAAGCCCGAGAGATTATGTTAATTGGTGTGGCGAAGAACGGATAATGTGTCTAATTCCAGAGCCTCTAGTAGCCTACTGAACAAGTGCTGAGATCAGTTTGATCAGGGGTTCATGGAGTTTATCATTGGGCAGCTGGACAATTACATGACAGGAAAGGCATCAAATCCTTTTATTCTTTGTTAATAGCTGAGGAGTGTTCCAAAAATTTTCCTCTCCAGCTATATAGTAGCAACAGATATGAGCTTACAAAAGCACTTCCTGCAAATTTAAACTAGCTAAAGATCTTTTCCATAGTTTCAATGATCATTTTAGTTTTATCCATGGGCGTCGGAACCATTGTATATGGGTGGGACAAGACCCACCCACTTTTTTTATTGAACCCACTCATTTTTACCATCTCTAATTCAGCTCATATGCTTGTTCACTTTTCAGAGCGACGTCAGTTAAATCCATTCCACTTGAGGAATACCCTAATAAATTAAACTCCATTCTGCGTTTTAGCTACAGCCTTGACTTCCACGCTGCTGCTTCCTTAAATCCATTCCACTTGGTTCTTTCAGAGTCCATATAAATTAAACTCCATTCCGTGTTTTCACTGCTCGCGCCTGCTGCACTCCCGATACACAGAAAGATAAATAAAGCATCGTAGCATATCTGCTGCTCAGGTGGGTCTGGCTGTGTGCTCACATACTGTCACTAAACAAGCTGCTATTTAAGAGAATGCTCATCATTTGTTCGCCTGTTGCTTTTAAAGGCATCATATAGTCTTTGTTGCAGCATTGAATTACAGTTACACTTACACTATGTTGGACCCACCCACATTTTTGTTGCTTCTGACGCCCATGGTTTTATCCCATATACACATTTTCTTGTCCATTCCAGTGCTAAATATTTATGGATCACAATCTTTGGTGTTGGTTGTGTCACTGGTGTTTCATTGTGTCATTGGGGTTACATCAAGAGATGAGACACTGGGCTTCAGCTTACTAACAATATCTTGTAGTGTGGAAAGGGAAATCATTTCAAATTGGATCAAAACTACAGGACTAATATTCCACAAAGAAATTAAGAAACATTTTAAACATACAGTATGAGATGACGTAACCATGATGTTATTTACAGAGGGTTTCACAACAGTGTTTTTAGTGCTAAAGAGAGTTCTTGGGTTTTTGCAGCTCCTCTTAATGAGGTCAGTGGAAATGTTTGACTTTGCCATCTTACTACTTTCTCATAATAAGATGAAGAGTCCCTTGGTATCTCATATGATACCTCAAGTTGTTTTCCATTTTCTCTTCACCCTTCTGTCAGAGTTAGCCAGTGTTCAGACTTAGGTTTATGGTGTTTTGCCTTTAATGAAGCAATTTCATCTGGAATGATTATACAAGCTAAAAGGTCAAAAGTCAGGCATGAAACTACAATACTTTATTCACTAAACACTTCAAATGAAACTTATTTTCAATGAAACATCAACATTAACTACAGCTAACCTTTGTTAATTTTTAATAAGAACTTTTGTAGCTGTATGAAAGATAAGTCAAACTGGTTTGTAATGAGTAAAGGATGTAATGATTATTTGTAGCAACCTGTGTGTGTTATTTCAAGAGAGCACCATAAATGTGTTGTTTTACTTTTATACTTTATATTCATTTATTCGTCTTTTTTTCCATCCATTTATAATCACTTGTCATTTAATTATTTTATTATTCTATTTAATTATGTAATCATTTATAATAATTATTCAAACTATTTTTCTTATTTATGTGTTTGCTTCTGTTTCTTGTGTTTCCTTTCAGTTTAGTCTTATTAATCCCCTTGTTAGTTTCCTAGGTTTCTAATTAATCCCACCTGTGTTTAGTTAAGTTCTAAGTGTCGAAACGCTCACTGTTTTCTTAATTCCTTCGTCAGAATGTTGTGATTTAGTGGTGATTCAGAACACAGAAGCACGGCTCATTTATTGTTCCTTGGTGGTGGAATTATAGCTTTTTTTGTAACTTAATACTTGTTAATTTCACAAATAATGCCAAAATTAAAGTTAAGAGATGTGTTTAACAATATGCTATAATCGAATGTGACCAACTTTGTGGAGTTTAAATGTAATTTACCCACCATGTGCATAGCATGGCTGACAACATATTTTTGACTAAAATGTGGTTGAATCTCTTATTTCTGTTTGCCCTTTTAGACACATGTATAAATGCCCACTGTGGCCAGAAGATATATCTCTCTTCTTGTTGTGTTATAGAAATAAAACGTAACGTAATGAAACGTAGTTCTCCGTGTCCGCCTGTGATTTGAGTGATGATGGTTAAAAACATGACATGCATACAACTTATTTCACCTTTTACAATTACTCACTCTGGTTATGTAATTATTTTTTTTTATTAGCATTAGTACAGTAGTTATGCATATGATTTGACCGTGCTTTCATTAAAGAGCAAGATAATGACTATACATAATGATAGAGAGATAAAGATTTAAACATGGATAAATGAAACTACACTGAACAAAATTATAAACGCAACACTTTTGTTTTTGCCCCCATTTGTCATGAGATACATGCATATGGGGCCCAATGAAGTCACACCTAGGCTACCTAACTGGGACCCAACTGTTTGTCCTCAGTTTTCATGAAGGCACCGCCTGGGTTGTTCTAATGGGCTGATAAAATTAATGCTGGGTACACACTAAAAGATTTTTAAAATCTTATAAGATTTTCATGGGGTCGGTGGGCATGTGACATAACCGGTGTTGCGGCTTAACAACGGTATCACCGTCAGCACCGTTTATCGGCAAGCCTAGTGTGTACCCAGCATAACACTACTGAGTGCTTATATAATCCACACTGCATAGTCTTAAAAGAAACCCTAAAGCAAACAAATGCTACTGATACATTCACATTACAATATACAAAGGGTATAGTTATGAAACAGTAAATGAGAGAATGTTAAAGTCAAACCTCAGTATCTCCAGCTGACAGTTTAGACTCTTCAGTGCATCAGAGAGCAACTTCACTCCTGAATCCGTCAGGTCGTTTACACTCAGGTCCAGCTCTCTCAGATTGGAGTTTGATGATTGTAAAGCTGAACACACAGTTTCACAGTGCTGAATAAAAGGCCAACATCCTGCAATTCTGTAACAAAGAATAACATGCAATGAGGAGATGGATGGATAAAGTCATGTTTTCTGTATTCTGTGCATAACAATAAAATATTACTTTTATTGATCACATATCTAATATCCTATGCAAAATATCCTAATATCCTATGTTTGTTGGCAACATTCATTCATGAAGTGCTTTATGTCTAACGGAAATGTATCTGTTATGCATTTACACTGAAACAGGATGAACATAGATTGTCTCTCAAAGCAATGACATTTTTTGTGCAAGGATTCTTCACTGGTCATCAAGGCACACTTTGACATTAACGTTCACACAAACCTCAACAATGGAAACAATAAAACATTCAGATAAACATCAACTTTGAACATCACAAAAGAACTGCAATGCATGCTGGGAGCCATGGATGAGTTTTGTACTATGGAAGCGCCCATCATGACCTGCAGCGTGATAATTTTTGTTGATGGTCACCGTTGTTGAGTTTCACAAGCTGATTGTTGATGTTTGTGCATGTTTAATGCAGTACTTCAGTAATGCAGTGACTTTTCGTGCACAGCAATATCATCAGATTATTGTCAGATTACAATCATCCTTCAGATTATCTGATTGTCACAACACTGCTGGATCTCATGCTGTATCAGACTGTAGCATAAAATTTAAGTGTGTTCATGACACAACCCACCTATAATCATCGATTAAACTTTGCATGATATCATTCGATCAAAAAGCTGCTTTTTAAAGTAATGCATTACATTTTTGCGTTTCTCCATAAAAGTAACTAATTGTATTACTTAGTTACTTTTTATGGAACTTTTGCATTACTTTTTGTGACCTGGGCTTGGCTAGCTTAGGCTATTTGTTTTTTAATAACAAAAAAACAAGTTATATTTTTGGTATATTTATGTATATCAATTTCTCTCAACATGGGACAGGTGACACATCAGTCAATAAAAGGGAAAACAAAGGAACTTATTTGTTACAGTTATTCAGTTGTAAATTTAAAAGTAATGTGTTACTTTACTTTAATAATAATACTTTAATAGTAAAAGTTACAGATATTCAGTTGTAAATTTAAAAGTAATGTGTTACTTTACTTTAATAATAATACTTTAATAGTAATTAGTAATCTGATTATGTAACTCATTACTTGTAATGTGTTACTCAAACACTGTTTCTATTTGCTTGCTTTGGAAAACTAGTATAAAGGTCACACACACCTGACAATCATATATAGGTGCATATGATCAAAAAAGAAGAAATCCCACACTCTAAAACTTGCATACAAGTTTCTGGAGCAATTCTTATTTGTTAGCGGTGGCACAGCAACTGTGGCGACTGGACATGACGTCTCCGTTCCCTCCTTCAGGGAACGAGGGTTACATACGTAACCGAGACGTTCCCTTTCAGTCGGTCGCTCTCCACGTCATGTCGGTGATGACCGACGAATTGGGATCCCTACCAACGCACCACAGGTGTTGCCCCCTCCAGTGCCCTGTGTAGGCCCGTTGACCCTTCCTATAAGGCAGATGATAGGACCGGGCTCTACACAGAGAAGATTGACCACTGCTGTTCCTCGCAACCCAACAGTAGGACTTGGAAAACAATGGGAAAGCATGCCCTATCCATTTGGAAGGGGCATGCTGCGGAGTCACCTCCTCCCAGAGGGGGTTAAGTGACATTTACTCACGTGGAGTAACCCCGTAGGGCCCTACTGCACATGGAAGTCTCTGAGATGGCTCAGGCTGCATCATTTAGAGACAGCAGAACGTGGTCTGCCAGGGGAACACGGCCCTAGTAACTGTACTGTGGGCATACACATATGGGATCCTAACAGGGTCAATCATATGGGCACTAGCCTCGCACCAGATTTCAGGAATTCATTGGCTGAAAGGCCTGGCGCCGGATGCTCCGCCACGTCTGGCCACCGGAGTGCTGGAGGACTCGACAGGGTTTTCCCGGTTAGGGAACTCTCTGGAGAATCAGGTGTTAAGGACGCCGCAAGCAGACTCTGAACCGGGCCTCTCAGTGCCACTACCCATTTGAGGTGAGAACACAGGAGGAAACCGTCTCGACACGTAGGCTATAGAACCTCGCGAACGTGTTAGAAGTCGCCCAGCCCGCAGCTCTACAAATATCTGCTAGCGAGGCACCACGAGCCAGCGCCCAGGAGGATGCGACACCCCTAGTGGGTGAGCATGCAGCCTGAGCGGGCAGGGCACACCTTGTGCTTCATAGGCCAAGGAGATGGCATTCACTATCCAGTGGGCCATCCTCTGCTTGGAGACAGCCTTCCCCTTCTGCTGTCCACCATAACAGACAAAGAGCTGCTCTGAGTTCTATCCATGTACTGTCGCAGTGTGCGTACAGGACAGAGCAAAGCTAGGGCTGGGTCTGCCTCCTCCAGGGGCAGCGCTTGCAGGTTCACTACCTGGTCCCTGAAGGGAGTGGTAAGAACCTTGGGCACATAGCCAGGCCAGGGTCTCAGTGTTGCACTGGAATCAGCCGGCCCAAACTCAAGGCACGATTCGTCGAACAAAAATGCCTGCTGGTCCCCCACCCTCTTGATCGAGGCCAATGCAATCAGGAGTAGGGTTTTCATAGAAAGAAACTTCAACTCGACTGACTCCAAAGGCTCGAAGAGGGCAGTTTGTAGGGCTCTTAGCACCAATTCCAAATCCCAAGAGGGTAGGGAGGAAGGCCTAGGAGGATTTAACCTCCTGGCCCCCCCAAGGAACCTGAGGACCAGATCGTGCTTCCCCGACCGACCTCCCCTCTATGGGGTCGTGGTGGGCGGAAATAGCAGCAACGTAAACCTTAAGGGTGGAGGGGGACAGCCCTCGCTCCAACCCAAGCTGCAAGAAGGAAATCACGCCTCTGATTGAATATCTCCGGGGGTCCTCCTATTGAGAGGAACACCATTCGACGAACAGGTTTCACTTCAGCATATAGGCCCGTCTTGTGGACGGAGCTCGTGCTGAAGCGATAGTGAGAGCTACCTCCTGGGGTAGGTCACCTAGAACCTCTTCGTCCCGTCCAGGGACCGCACATGGAGTTTCCACAGGTCCGGACGCGGGTGCCAGAGGGTACCCCGTCTCTGAGAAGCAGATCCTTCCTCAGAGGAATCGGCCAGGGAGGGGCTGTCGCGAGGAGCATGAGTTCCGGGAACCAGGTCCTGCTGGGCCAATATGGAGCCCCTAAAAAGACCTGCTCCTCGTCCTCCCTGACCTTGCACAGTGTCTGTGCGAGCAGGCTCACTGGGGGGAATGCATATTTGCGCAGACCCCGGGGCCAGCTGTGTGCCAGTGCATTCGTGCTGAGCGTTGCCTTGGTAAGGGAGTAGAACCAATGGCAATGGGTGGTTTCTGGAGATGCAAACAGGTCTACCTGAGCAACTCCGAACCGACTCCAGATCAGCTGGACCGCCTGGGGATGGAGTCTCCACTCCCCTGGAAGTGCTGCTTGTGACAGCTCGTCGGCTGCCCGATTGAATACTCCTGGGATGTGGATGGTGCGAAAGACCTCAGATGCTTCTGACTCCAGAGGAGGAGGTGGCGGGCGAGTTGCGACATGCTACTGGAGCGTAAACCGCCTTGCCGGTTGATATACGCAATGGTCGCAGTATTGTCTGTATGGACCAGCACGTCCCTGCCCCAAAGGCTCCCTGAGGTGGCTCAGGGCAAGGCGCACTGCCAGCAACTCGAGACAATTGATATGCCAACGCAGTTGGGGCCCCGTCCATACCCCTGACACTGCGTGCCCATTGTACGTGGCTCCCCAGCCGGTGGCCGAGGCATCCGTGAACACCACAGCATGCCTTTATACCTGTTCCAGGGGCACTCCTGCACGAAGGAACAAAGGATCTGACCATGGGCTGAAGGTTCTGTGGCAGGCCAGTGTAATCTGAACCCCGGTGAGTACCGCGTAGCCATGCCCAACTCGGGACTCGGCCATGGAGCCAGTGCTGAAGCAGTCTCATATGGAGCAGACCGAGCGGAACTACCACCGCAGCTGCAGCCATATGCCCAGGAGCCTCTGAAAGAATTTCAGTGGGACCACCGTCCTGCCTGATAAAATCTTGAGGCAGTTCAGCACTGACTGAGCATGTTCCTGGGTGAGGCATGCTGTCTGGCTGACCGAGTCCAACTCCATGCCAAAAAAAGAGATCCTCTGTGTTGGCACGAGTTTGCTCTTTTCCCAGTTGACCCGAAGACCCAACTGGCTGAGGTGTCTGAGCACCAGGTCCCTGTGTGCGCACAACTGATCCCAAGACTGTGCTAGTATAAGCCAATCATCGAGATAGTTGAGGATGCCTGAGGGGAACAAGATCCCCCTCCGCAACCTTCGTGAAGACAAGGGGAAACAGGGACAGCCCTTAAATGTTTAAATGTATGTGGCAGCAGGACAGGCTGACAATGGCTGTGTTGCAGGCTTACCAAGCAAATCTGCCGAAGGACCTGGACCAGGAGCAGGGGCTTTCCCCTGAAGCGGTAGCTGAGCTGCACCACACTTTAGATTTGGCTCTCTGCGCCACAAAAAAATCCGCTGCCATGATTGGTTGCTCAATGGCAGCGATGGTGGTCAAGGCTGAACTTGGCCAACATTGGAGAAAAAGAAATCTTTCTCCTTGATGCACCAGTTCTGCCTTCTGAGGTTTTTTGTACATCCGTTGAAAAGTTGGTCGAGAAGTTCAAGGAGGTAAATGAGCAGTCAGCAGCATATAAGACATTTATATAGCGCTGGTCTAGGTCCACACTCCAATCCTCTAGGGCAGGGGTGTTTAATTCAGTTCCTGGAGGGCCACTGTCCTGCAGAGATTAGCTCCAACCCTAATTAAACACACCTGAACCAGCTAATCAAGGTCTTCAGGGTTACTAGAAACTTCCTGGCAGGTTTTTTGTAGCTAGTTGAATAGCGAGACTTGTTTGAGTATGAGCCAGTCGTCGAGATAGTTGAGGATGCGCACCCCCCTGTTCTCTCAAGGGACGCGTCCTTCAGGTCGATTGCTGCAAACCAATCTTGGGGATGGATGCACTCGAAAATGTGTTTCTGCGTCAACATCTTGAATGGCATCTTGTGAAGCGCACGGTTCAAAACTCGCAGATCCAAGATCGGTCGTAACCCACCACTTTTCTTGGGCAAAATGAAGTAAGGGCTCTAAAACCCCGACCTCATATTGGCTGGAGGGACCGGCTCTATCGCGTCCTTTGCCAGCAGGACTGCGATTTCCGCATGCAAGACAGGGGCATCGACAGCCTTGACTGAAGTGAACCGGATGCCCCTGGACCTGTGATGGCAGGGGGCGGGGTCTGGGTGCGAAGTGTAACACTCGCCTGATTCCTCGTTGTGCGGCATTGTTGTGTACAGGCCTTGCCTGGTTCCACAAATGGGCAGGAGTGGTGCTCTTGGGCAACCCACTGCTGCCCGCTGGCGAGAGAGGAGGAAAGAAGTGATCCTGTGATGCACGGTTCACCACTTTCCTCCTCTTGAGACCCAGAGACAGAGGAAACTGCTCTTCTATAGAAGTCTTTGGTACCGCTGGCTGCTGTGCCTGCGGCGGAACAAAAACTAAATGAAACAAAAGATGCTCCATCCGGCCCTCCTCCGGGGGAGGGAGTGGTGCTGTCATGTGATAAGCAGTCTCCTCCATCTCCGGGTCGCCCATCTCAGGGCCTCTTGCACGTGCACTTGCCGCCAGCTTTGGCGGTGGCCTGGATGGGCTGGGCATCCTGCCTGCAACCGGCTCCACGACGCTGCCTGGTGGAAGGCTGCTGTGGCCATGGCGAGTGGAAGCAGTAGGTTTCCTCCGGCGCATGATGTGCTTAATCGCCTCAGTCTGCTTCTGTGCTGCCGAGAACTGCTCCACCGACGGAATGCCCGTGTACCCCGAAGTGTCCCCACCATCGAGGGTGGTGAGGACGGAGGAGCTACAAGATTTGTTTCGTTCAGTAAAAGGTGCCTTCCACGATCTTGTGAGCTCCTCATGCACCTCCGAGGGGGGTGCAGCGACCCCCACCGAGAAACCATTCATCCAGCCTCGAAGGATCGGGACGCGGTGGAGGATTCCATACGAGCCCGACATTCTTGACAGCCTGGGAAAGCATAGTGACATGACATGTGGCCAAGTATGGTGACCCATACTTGGAATTAGTGCTCTGCATTTAACCCATCCAAAGTGCACACACACAGCAGTGAACACACACACACCGTGAACACACACCCGGAGCAGTGGGCAGCCATTTATGCTGCGGCGCTTGGGGAGCAGTTGGGGGTTCGGTGCCTTGCTCAAGGGCACCTCAGTCGTGGTATTGAAGGTGGAAGAGAGCGCTGTACATTCACTCCCCCCACCTACAATCCCTGCCGGTACGAGACTCGAACCCGCAACCTTTGGGTTACGAGTCCGACTCTCTAACCATTAGGCCAAGACTTCCCGTCATCTAGCCGTCATCTCTGGGTCTGGCTCAGACAACGCTACCACACCTGAAGGGGGCAACACAACCGGGCCATCATCCCCGGAGAGAGTTCACCCTCCGATGCAGCACCGTGACTCCCCTCACGGGCCTGTAAGTATTCATCAGGCCTAACTGGCAGTGCTTACAGAGCTTGTGGGGAGGCGCCTTCTGCCCTCCACGCCATGGCGTTACTGCAGGTCCATCAAGCCAAAGCCCTGAGAGACCTGTACGAGGATGGCCACATCTGAGTAATAAGTCTTTTATGAAACTCCGAGATGGTCATGTCCCCACAAGAAGAACATGCACCATCCACGAACGCTTCCTCAGCGTGCTTAACACCCAGACATGTGAGGCAGCGATCGTGACCATCCTGAGGCGCCAGGAAACGACCACATCCAGAAACACACATGTGAAAAGACATCTTTAAAAAGACGCAATCACCCGTGTTGCTCTTTTAGAGATTGCTCTTTTAGTGCTGAAGCACGCAGGGGAGCTGGTCACTGCACACTCCTGGTGTGGCTGTCTGCACAAAGACGATTTTTTTTTCTTCTGTGAGACCGTGACCACCGCTGATGTGCCGTAACACCCGCACTCGTTCCTGCAATCACTCAAGGGAAAGAAGAGCAGTAGTGAAGCACCACCGCTCGGCTCCAAAGCGAAAGGATGAATTAATGCAGTGCACCTGCTGCCTCTTATACCCACGCTGCGGGGTGTGGCAGCCAAATGCAAAATCTGCATGCCAATGTCCATTGGTTTGTTTAGTTACACTCAAAGTGGATTGGTCACTCTGACGAGAAACTTAGTTTAGTACTCACATGCCGTGTGGCAGCCGCTTTCTGTGTGCGTGCTTTGGATGTGTGCGCTCAGAAAACTACCGCACAAGTGCTGAAAAGTGAAGCCAAAACGTTTTGATCACCCCCAGGTGGCTGGACCCAGTATAGGTCATTTTAGGTAGTTCTTAGCATGCTTATGTATGTTCAAGTGTTTTTTTTTTCTAATAAGTTTGCTTTCAATTAGTTATTTGATGCTATAAAAACGGGGTGTAGTGTCATGATTGTATTCTTGCGATTGGGTCTGCAAGAGTTTGAGCGGGACTTTGATACCGCGGTTCCACCTCACGATCACTACTGCGCAGATTCTGGCTCCAAATGACGCCATTTTCGCAAGATGACAGCGGCCATACTGAGAATGTTTTGGCTTCACTTTTCTATAGTGGAAGAAAGTGGAGACGACGCGTCATCCATCTTTTTTACAGTCTATGGTTTAAACTGATATGGCTTTAAAACGCATAATTTCAGCGCGATAGACATGATAATCAAAACCAAACAGATGTTTTTAAACAGAGTATCTGAGGTACGAGCTGTAAAGGCTCCACCCTATACTGGAAAAGGGGGCGGGGAGCAGCAGCTCATTTGCATTTAAAGATACAAGCACCAAAACAGCACGTTTCTGCCTCCACTCAAAATAGGCATTTTCAAAATGATATAATAAATTATCTGTGGGGTATTTTGAGCTGAAACTTCACAGACACATTCTGGGGACACCTGAGACTTATATTATATCTTGTAGAAAGGGCCCTTTAAATTTGAGTGGTGATGAAAAAAACACATCTATCTAAAATAAAGACACACAAATGGTAGCAGTGGGTCCAGATCTCTTTCTTTGTTTCTTCCCTGACTCTAGATCAGGGTCGTAACAGCATGAATGATGTGTGCCACAAACACATTCTTTCAGCACAATCTCTGCTTGCAGATCATTACCTGTGTGATTCTGGCCAAATTACCGTGTGTAAATTTGTCCTCCGGTTAAAGAAAACTGTAGCATTTGAAACATTTGAAACTTATGTGTGTAAAGGTTACACAACTGAGGTTTAGTTAGTGTAATACTGTTTTGTGCAGACCTCGCATGCATTTCTCTATTACTGTGTGTTTCTGGATTTGTTGTGTGCTTGTGTGAGTTTAGTAGATCATGCGACTGTTTTCACTCTACATGTGTCTCATGAATGGAAACGCAAACTCTCTTTGGGCTACGCAACTTTATTTTTAGACAGATTTTTAAAAAGCTTTGTCCATATCAAATTTTCAGTTATCACATCTGTTTGAGTGATTCTTGGAGAAATCACATTTTTGTTCAGTTAACTCTATGGCTCAAAACTTTGTGAATAACAGGATCTCTTTTGTTTTTATTGCAGCACTGTTTCCTCTTTTTTTATCTAGTTTTCATATTTCTTTGAAAAAAAAGTATTTTAATATTAAGTAATACTTTGTTTGGAGTATTAAATTAAGAATTATTAATGTGAGACGATTGTAAACATGTTTCCCACACAGCTGTGCTTTTACTGTCTGCTTTCAACTGCTTATATTCTGCTTCAGTGCTCATATGAGAAATAAATTACTTTTATATAAATAATAAAACCAGGGTTATGATTTTATAGATTAGTTTGAGTCACAGCTACAGACTAATTTGATTCTTCTGTAATTACATGAATGAATGAATGAATGAATACTTACAGAGCTTTTCTGCAGTTGATCACAGCTGGTATCAGTCTTTTTCTTCCCTCATCTGATGTGTTGAATTTAATGAGATCAAGCTCATCCAGCGGCTCCTCTAACATCTGAAGCATGTAGGTGATTGTTGAGCAGTGAGCAGGAGAGAGTTTCTTTCCTGAGTGTTTGTCTGATTTCACAAACTCCTGAATCTCTCTGGACAGAGTCTGATCTTTCACTTCCAGCAGACAGAGGAACAGATTGATGGAGCTGTCATCTGATAGTTTCATGTTATAGTCATCTGTCTTGATCTTGTCTTTAATGTACAGTGTTATTGTCTTGATGCTATTTGAGCTGTTCTCTGTACGTGTCAGTAGATCCTGTAAGAGTCTCTGATTGGACTCCAGTGGGACACCCAGCAGGAACCGCAGGAATAGATCCAGACGTCCATTCTCACTCTTTAAAGTTTTATCAACTGCTGATTTTAGCAGCTCATACAGAGAGTTTTCCTCAGATCTGTACCTCTCAAGTTTATCATCCAGAAACAACTTCACTGGCTCCATGTTCTTCATTAAATAGAGGTAAAACACATGGAAAGCAGCGAGAAACTCCTGAACGCTCAGATGAATGAAGCTGTAGACTTTCCGCTGATGAATCAACAATCACTTCTCTGTTGGACTGCAGGAGTTTTTCTGGATCTCTCTCATCATACTTCTGATTCCTTATGTTGATCTGAATTAGCAGGAAGTGGATGTACATTTCAGTCAGAGTTTGAGGGATTTCTGCACTCAGATCTTCTTCCAGGAGCTTCTGAAGCACAGTGGATGAGATCCAGCAGAAGACGGGGATGTGGCACATGATGTGGAGGCTTCTTGCTCTTCTGATGTGTGAGATGATTCTGCTGGCTTGATGCTGGTCACTGATCCTCTTCCTGAAATATTCCTCCTTCTGAGGATCATTGAATCCATCAATTTCTGTCAGACGGTTGATGTATTCGGAGGGGATCTGATGGGTTGCTGCTGGTCTGGAGGTGATCCAGATGAGAGCAGAGGGAAGCAGCTCTCCTTTCATGAGCTTTGACATCAACACAGCCACTGATGAAGTCTCAGTCACATCACAAACGTTCTGAGTGTCTGAAAACATCAGTGTGATTCTGCTTTCATCCAGACCATCAAAGATGAACACAACTTTACACTCCTCATAAATCAGTGAGTCCAGATTTTGAAGTTCAGGATGAAAGTCCAGCAGAAGTCTGTGAAGACTGTACTGATGATCTCGGATCAAGTTCAGCTCTCGAAAAGGAAGCACAAACATGAAATCCTGTGTGTAGATCCTGTTCAGGAGGCTTTCATTCTCCTGGAATTTCAGTCCCTCAAACAATCTCTCATACTTCTTCTTCATGCAGGTTTTGTGCTGGTCTTTGACTCTCTGTAGTTGATCATCTGGTTGGTGGGAATCCTGCTGCAGGTCTCCAGTCTTATCATCTCTATCCACACAGCAGAAACAAGAACAACAACACAATCAATGAATGAGTTTGAGCTGAAAGATCTTTTAGTAAAGCCACGTGTCTCATTTTCTGAACCAGCTGAAACAGAATAAATGTCTCTGGTTACTTGACAATAACCCTGTTCCCTGAAAAAGCGAGAATGAGATGCTGTGTTTCAATAATGCTAATGAGAACATTCTTTGTTCGACCGGTTGTGAAGCACGTGTGTCAAACAGGCCAAGAATTGGCTTAAATAAACTCGGAAGGTGACGTCATTTGATTACATGCACCTGCGGGGTTATAAATAGATGTGAAACGGACACACCTTCAGGTTATACCTTTGTCTGAAAGGACATCCAGGCACACCTATAGTGCGGCATTGAGGCGCAGCATCTCGTTCCCGCTTTTTCAGGGAACAGGGTTACAGTCAAGTAACCCGAGATGTTCCCTATCAAAAGCTACTCTCGTTTCTGCGTTTCAATAATGCTAATGGGAACGAGAATACCAACGTCACCACACTGGTAGTGTCTGGACCCCCCAAGGTTGTGTAGTGCGTGCGCACAAACATTGAAGAGGTCTCAGACACGACTCTAGGATGTTGACTCAAGGACATGCGAGCCCAGAGTATCATGGACATCCAAACTGTAGAATCTGACAAATGTGTGCGAAGAGGACCAGCCTGCCGCATCACACACTTGCTGCAAAGGGACTTGCTGCATTTGAGGGCATAACTTCTTCTAGTGGAAGGAGCCCTAGCACTTACAATAGTTTGTACTACATTGGCTGGAAGCCCAGCATCTCTTAGTTGGTCCCCCTCAGGGGCCAGACATGAAGGTTCCAGAGCTCGGGCTGGGGATGATATACTGTCCCCTTCGCCTGAGATAGAAGATTTCCCCTGACTGGAATCGCCCATGGCGAGCCGTTAAGGAGGGATATTAGATCTGAGAACCACACTCTGGTCGGCCAACGCGGCGCTATCAGTAAGAGGCGAGACCCTTGTTGACGGACCTTGGCCAGGACTCCCGGGAGCAGAGCGATCGGGGGAAATGCGTAAAGATGCAGTCTGGGCCACATATGGGCCATTGCATCCAGACCCAGTGAGCTGGAGGAGTCAGAGAGAAGTAGAGGGAACATTGTGCTGTCTTCTGTGACTTTGTTCTGTGACTTTGTTAGGGTTATAACTTTGTTATAGGAGACATTGATGTCAAATATGGTTCATTCTGTGTTACTGACTCTGATGTTAAATAATGTCTAACCCTCATTTTACTGCAGCAGTTCAATCTGCTGCATGTTTGCACTCACACAGGGTCAGAGTTCACCGTTTCATCACTGATGTTTCACGAGTTCGCCTGCCCATCCAGTCCTGAAGGTAAATGGTAAGCAAACTTGGCTTGCTGTCCTCAACGGAGGCTCGAACCCGAGGCTCGGCTTGAGCTCCGAGTTCAACTCCCCAAAAAGTGTTTACAAAGGACAGCAAGCTGGGCAATCAACTGTGAGTAGTTTGGTGATAAAAGTAGAGAAATCTTTAATGGACTCAATCCCTCTCCCCCAAAGAATGGGCAGAATACATCTCACTGTTGCGGCGATGGGGAAATATAAGGCGGGTGAGGGGCTAACAAATGAGAGGGCTCCTGTAGGAGAGGAGTGAGAAATCACTGCTGCGGCAGTGATGTAAGAACAAAAATTGTAGTATTTTAGTATGACATCTGCTGTGGGAGAAATCAATGCTGTGGCAGTGAGAAATAGAGTTTAGTATGATATCTGCTGCAAGAGTGGTGGGGGAAATCATTGCTGCAGGGGTGAAAAATAGAATTTAGTATGATATCAGCTGTGAGAACAGTGGGAGAAATCACTGCTGCGGCAAAGAAGTATTAAGTGATTTGACAGGGAAAATCACTGCTGTGGCAGTAAGAAATAACAGAGTTGATGTGAAAATGGTGGAAAAACAGTGACGGACCTTATGAAAGTGAGGAGGGGGTCCAAGATGTCCAGTTGCTTGAAGGAAATCCTGTGCTGGGTGGAAGGCTCACAGCACTCAGCTGAGGCAGTATGAGCTCTGGGGCAGTGCGGAAATTCTGCTATTGCTGAGGAATTAAATGGCTGGGGTGACAACCAGGGATGGGAGAAGCGGGTTCGATAGAGGTGTCCTCTGCAGGAGGACGTCGACAGGCTTAATTTCCCTTGTTATGAGCTGAAAGTGGAACCGGATCAGGAGGGTCTTTGTGGAGCATTCTTCGTTGGAGGTGAAGTGCTGGGGTTTGCCAAGTTGGGACGCTGTTCAAGGGACAGGGCGGGGACAAATGCCAGAAGAATTGTCATCTCACCTGCGCTTAAAGGTCACTGATCCATCACTGAAGTTATGGGGATCTAGCATGGATCTCTCACTCCTCATAGACACACAGCTGGGCTCTGGAGGTGCTGCTCTCTTGTTCTCAGTGTCACTAGAGAAACACATCAGTAATTCACATTATTTCTCTTTCTCACTGATGTTTATGATTCTTATAATCCTGTCTCTTGTCTCCAGCACTGGTTATCATCTCACCTGGGGTTAAAGGTCACTGATCCAGCACTGAAATGTAGGGGATGTGGCATGGATCTCTCACTCCTCATAGACACACAGCTGGGCTCTGGAGATGCTGCTCTCTTGTTCTCAGTGTCACTAGAGAAACACATCAGTAATTCACATTATTTCTCTTTCTCACTGATGTATATAATTCTTATAATCCTGTCTCTTGTCTCCAGCACTGGTTATCATCTCACCTGGGGTTAAAGGTCACTGATCCAGCACTGAAATGTAGGGGATGTGGCATGGATTGATCACTCCTCATAGATACACAGCTGGGCTCTGGAGGTGCTGCTCTCTTGTTCTGATAGTGAACATCATCCTTCTCTCTCTCCTCATAGAGATTCATTTTAGAGCCAGTGATCTTCTGTCTCCTTAAATATGTTCAGTTCTGCATTTGGACATACAATGACATACAACTCTCATCTTTAGACAAACTGAAAAATAAAACATTTGCCTTCAAGTTCTGGGGCCGTATTCACAAAACATCTTAAGGCTAAAAGTAGCTCCTAACTTGCCGATTTAGGGAGATGGTCCTCACTGCAGAACACAAGATCCAGGGGGCGAGGTTGGATCCAGATCCAACTCCTCCCACCTTACATATACCTAAACCTACCCGTCTCCACCCCCTGATCCCTAAACCCACCCATCTCCACCCCCTAGATGTGGATCCAACCACGCCCCCTGGATCTTGTGTTCTGCAGTGAGGGGCTCCTGGATTTAGGAGAAACTCTTAGAATAAATGGGCTCTAAGAGTATTTCACAAAGCGTTTTAAAACTAAAATCAGCTCCTAAATCTGTGAAAAGTGAGGTGTATTCAAGAGGACTCCTACTGTAAATCACTGAGACCAAATCATAAACAGTCCTGAAATGGCTGTTGCCATCAATTCATATCACAACATAAACATTTTAGAAACATTTCACAATGATTTGCCTTTAATTTAATATTTTCATGTACAAGCTGGGCAAGAGGTAACAGCTGCTCTTGCATCCAGTTTGGTTTTCTTTTGCGTTTGCATGTCTTGCTATCAGCCATGATTATTCTAGTCTGTTATTTAAAAGGCTGTGTATATGCATATCCACTAATTGTTCACGAGATGCTGGCATGTAAGAGCATGACAATTGGCCAAACATATACTTGTTTAATTAGTGACACTTAACCTACATTTTAAAAACTTTTTTAAATATGGCAACATTTTTATTTTAAAATCTTTATTTGAATATTGGAACATGATACTCCTACAATATTTCTGAGACTAAATGACTGACAGAGACTCATCCCCTCTCAGCCAATCACAGTGGGCAGAGTGAGTAAGCTTGATGACATCATTCATAGCAACAAGCTCAACCCCGCCCTTTCTCTTGGCTTAAGATTTCTCCAAATTCCTTGGTAAAAGTTGGTTTCAGCAGCTTTGTGAAGAGCTTTTAAGAGGAAACTCAGCTAAGAACTTTTACGGCTATTTAGGAGAACTCTTAGTGCTAAGATAAAATGTGTTGTGAATACGGCCCCTGATCTAACAGTATTTAAAAGTGCTTGTGTGATCACAGGCGCTGAGAGAAACCCTGCGTCCCAATGTTCAAACTATCCTTCCTAAATAGTATGTGAGATTAGAATAAGTGTGTCCCAAAGCATTGTATGTTGAAAGCCAGAAGTCCCCGGATGGTCTACTATTTCAGGTATATTTTTGAAGTGTGGATCCGTGCATACTCTGATGGGTAATATTACCCACAATCCATTGCGCTTTGGCGAAGGATTTGGTTCAGAACTACAAACACGAATAAAAAAACGTGAAAAAACTACAAACATGGCAGATATGCGCGACCGATAGTCAAGTAGAGAGGTTTAGAGAAAGGGGTTTGAGTTACTAATAATCAACATTTAACCAGGTAAAAAATATTTAATTATTCTTATCTGTGTTATATTTCATCTGCAACAGCAATGTGAACTTTTATAAACATCCGTTTGGCCATTAACTTTTAAATGCATCATTATGCAAAAAATATGAGCAGAGTTCTCTGCATAAAGACCCTCGGCTGGCAGATCAACGTGATACTTCTTTTCTCTCAGATATGGTAGGAAGTTAAATTACATGAAATGTGGAGGATGTTAACTGTGACAAGATGATTGACAGGCCAGTTTACAGTGACAGGGTGCGACAGAGAGCCCGTTAAAAACGCAATTGTATGGCATGATAGTTTGTCCCAAAGCTTGCCTACTCTTCTACTACGCACTCAAAAGTGTGTTCCTTTTCTTCACCAAAAGAGTACATACTATAAGGGCGTAGTATAAGTAGGCACATTGGGACGCAGCAAAAGAGTTGCGTCTCACATGCGTCCACTGATGATGACATCATTAAGCATGCTTAATACAGCGCTTCAACCTGGCAGCAGATCAGAGAAGGAGGCCTTTCAGCATCCCGACCCGAGAGGAGCCTTTCTTTAAACATGCTCTTTGAAAAGATTTACATTGAATAAAATGTTTCTGCTTCAGATTACAGGAAACTCTGCATTTACAGGATGAGCTGCTTCATTACTGGATACGGATCTGGTCTGGGTCCGTCCCGACACCCAAGTGGACTCTGATCTGGACTAGAGGTTGACCGACAGTGGATTTTACCGATACCGATAGCTAGGTTGGACCACACAGGCCGATATGATTAATTAGGGCTAATAATAATAGTTGATAACCAATTCAAATGGAAAGCTAATATTTTCAGATTGTATAATCCGTATGAAATGTGCACGGCCACTGTGGAGTTGACGAGTCAGTGTTGTCGAATTCATCGTTGCAGCCAAAAATACAGAGAAGAGGATTTGTTTGTACTTTTATGTATTAGAAGATCATTGTTTTCAAATAACTAAATACATAAGCTAGTAACATCAGCCAGGTTCAGTGTTTTTTATGATGAGAATGAACTGCAACCAAACTAATATGCATCAGTATGTCTGAGATCATGTCTATCCATGCTTTTACAGTTTCTAAATGTGAGCAGACTTTACATTTACATATGCTCATCACTGCCGAACCAAATGTATCGGATTACAACACAAACACGGCCTCACAGTTCATCACTTCTGTCGCTGCTTTAGTTGCTTCTTCACTTCGCACAGGATTATTTTTCTTATTAATGTGCCACAGATCACTTTTAATATTCCTCTGTGTTGCAGTAATCAAGAGAAGTGTCATCGCTGAAGAAATGGCAGACGTTCATCCTCAGACACCAGTGAACATGAGCAGCGTTTCGAGTCCAAGACAGTGGACAGTCGTCTTTGCTACACTTCTGACTGAACTAGCAGCAGTTAGAGCCAGTGAGAAAGCTGTGTTTCTACTGAGGCGTTTAAAGTGAAGCTCACACAGAGTTCTGTCATCATTTCCCCCTCACGTCTCACCAAACCTCTGACTGTAGCTGTTTTCTGAGGAACTCGAAAGAAGTCACTTTGAAGAATGCTGCACATCTGTCACGTGTGGAAAACATGAGGGGAGTAAATGATTTTCATTTTTGGGTGAACTATCGCTTTAATTAGCATGCCACACACTTTAAATATTAACCATGCTGGGCACAGACACTTAATGTGATAGTGTTATCATTGTAATTAGTGCTGTAATTAGTGTAACAACATGTGCATTAATAAAATATATATATTTAATTTCATTCCGTTTGGTGCATTCGGTTAGACCTTTAGTAACAGATACTTGTATCTTATTTGATCTTTGCAGGAGCAGAAATCAAAGCTCTCTCAGATCTCACCAGATGAAGATGAAACACAACGACTCAGAGATGACGAGAGATTTGGGAAATGAGCGGCAACCAAGGAACAGTAATCACTGATTCACTCAAAAATGATCCATAGTAATTGTTAGACAGTGATTTATATGATTTTGCCAAGTAAAAAATGTGTTTAATTCAAAAACATCGTCATTTACCAATGTGTTGTTCAAAACACTTTTTAGCTTTCTAATGTTTTTTAATGTAATGTGTCAAAGTTTACAGTCCTAGTAAATGTGAGTTAATTTTTGCAAAATGTGGTGAATATTTTACTTACACTTACTATAAGCTGCTGTTAGTTTGTTTTTGCTGTAATTGTTTTGTAAATACATTTTCTTCATGTCAGCTTGATCAATTGAGTTCTTTAAAAATGGACTTTAAAATTTCATTCGTAGTAATGAGATGTTTATAGATTTGTTAAATATTTATGTCTAATAATCTATATAGTTGAAATGAAATGAAATAAACGCTTTGACTGGGTATGAATTTTAAATGAAAGATTAATGAGCCGTACAGTAGCCTAGATGTAGAAATGAAACTGGGTCGTGTCTGGCGCGCTGTGCACATCCGGCTTGAATGCGGCAGAGTCCGGAAGTGACGGCTGCGCATCTGACCCGATTGATTGACCCGGAATCGGGCATCGGCCCGTGAGAGTCCAGCCGGAACTGGCCCGAGTGTGCTTTGCTATCTGGGCAGCTTTCTGTCATTCACTTACAGTTTGATCACGGCATAAAGAGCTTTAAATAAAATCATCAAAATGACTTCAGCGCATCATTAAAGTCTCAGAAGCACAAAGTAACCAATGAGGCACATACATGAAAACAACGAGAGAAAGATGAAACACTCACCTCAGAAAATTTGTAGATCTTTCTACTTCCTGCTCTGAACTGTTGTGTTGAGTGTGTGATGTTGGGATGAATTATTTTAAATTTGGTGTTTTTTCCCCCCCTTGTGCTATTTTCCTTCCGTTCTCAAAGTTTCACGTTCGTTTTCCTAGCTCCGCTGTCAATCATCCTTAAGGGCGGGGCCAGCATGCTGACGTCAGACAGGGCTCGACGGTGTTCAAATGGAGGTTTTTGCACCTTCAGACATGTGTGTGTGTGTGTGTGTGTGTGTGTGTGTGTGTGTTTATTACATGGTGGGGTCCTCAACATGTTAGCACACTCACATAGTGGGGACCAAAAACATAGTGGGGACCAAATGCCCGGTCCCCACAATGTTTTGCTTGTAATAGGCTCTGGGGGCGTTGCTGATATGCCTAGTGCAGTTTTTTTCCTGAGCCCCACCATGAGCAAATCCCTGCTCTGAGTGTGTGAGTGTGTGTGGCAGCGTTGTAAAGGTAGGTTACCATAGTTCTACTGCAGTGTTTTACAAATGTCCTATTGTTTTACATGTAACGTTAACAAACTTTTATACATTACCCATTCAAACTACGATCAATCTGCCAAAAAAATGGTTTATACAGTTGTACTGTATTAATAACACCATGTTTTTTTTTTTTACATAAGGGTGGGTAACAAGGTCATATAAATCTAGATAAACAGGGATATTTTAAAGTTCTGAACATTTTTAAATTGCATTTGCTAGAATTAAGATTAATAATCATAAACCATAACTAAATATGAGATAAACCTAAATATACATAACCTACATGTAGAGTAAGTGCACCCATTAAGCCCACCAAAATATAAGTTTGTGTTTTTCATAGATATTGACATGGTTTATGAGAAAAATCAACAGTTAAAATGTCAGATTTATCTCTCATTTGAAAATGTATTAATTAGTTGATGTACACTTTAGAATATAAAATTAAGATTTTATGAATAAAGTATGGCATGGGCTTAATTGGTACTTCAGCACCATTCAAGACCGCATGTGTTCCAAATAAGCCCACATCATGATATATTCACAAAATATATTAAAAAATATATATTTTAAAGAAGTAAAACACCAATATATTCATTCAGTGACAGAAGTGTTTAAATTCCTTTTACTGATGTTTGCTAGCGCTCATCACCTGTACTAATAACATTTAAACCCAGCCACACAGGACATGTAAGGACTGTAAAAAGACACTAGTCAGTCAAAACTTCACCTCACCTCACATTTTTCCTTCTTTCATTTTACACTTAGCCTATATAACATAATCTACATAATCTAGTACAGTCTACTTGAAGACACTCTGAAATCTCGCTCTCTCCTGCTTAACTGAGGAAGGTCTTAGTGTTGGGCGATATGGTCATTATTCAAATCGTCATATCGCCAATCCATGAGATCGCCGATAGACGATATTGTCATGCATGGGTGGGTGGGAGCAAGAGAGAGACTCCCTGTACTTGTCATAGGCCATTTCATAACTATTTGGTGTTTTAAACCGCCCGCGCGTGAGAGAGAGAGGGAGCCTGTGGAAGCACCACGAATCTAAATAATATACTTTCAAACATACTGATAAACTAACATGTTAAATACAAAAATATTTAAAACAGCTAGTTCATAT